GCTTTCATCACAAATAGGACACCTTTTAGAACTTTCAAGACTCTACATTCTCCAACAAATTTGTTGCCAATAGACTGTAAGGCACCCAAAGAGATAAATTTTATTTTTTTTAGATCTGGAACATGTCTTACATCAGTGACGGTTCTCACCACTCCATGATATATCTTGATGGTAATTGTTCCAATGTCAACGGTTTTACAAGCTGCATCATTCCCCATCAAATCTTTAGAATAATCACTATTTGGAGAGGTTGAGAATACATTTATTTGTTCCATTTTCTGTTCTATGAACAATACTAGCTGCATAATGGGCAGTTTTTTACTTCTCTTCGAGTTTCTAACAATCATTCGTCATATGTCCCTTTTTGTTGTAATAATAACATTGAGCATTATATTTTCCTGATCTGGATTTGGATTTGGGCTTGCCTAACTTTCATGTCTCCTTTCACTTCAGTCAACGGATCTCTCTCTAGCCACTAAACCATCTGCATATGTTTAACTATTACCTTATGCTTTCCTTAAATCATTTGAGGGAAGAGTCGAAATCGCGTACTCTATCTCTGTAGTATCTAGTAAACGGATCTTTCTCTAGCCACTAAACCATCTGCATGCGTTTAACTATTACCCTATGTCTTCCTTAAATCATTTGAGGGAAGAGTCGAAGTCACATCATTTATCTCTGTAGTATCTTTTCGATACAGCTATATTGTGACAAGATGGTTATATAAATGAGGGACTGAGCATAACAAGATTATAGCCTTTCCTCATCATCTACCTTAACACCAATGCTCAATGATTCACAAATAATTTTATTAAATTGATTTAGGTATTCATGGATATCCGTAACTTCGTTAATGTGTGGGGTATATAATTGTTTCTTCTAATACAATCGATTAGTGAGGTACTTTATCATATACAGACTCTCATGCTTTAACAAAGACTTGATCTCGAATATTCATTGACGATGGTAAACAATACTTCACTAGATCTAAGTCTTCACAGTCTTCATCTGACATGAATTGTAGTTTATTCGACTTTCCTTTCAATGCTTTGTGTAATCCTTATTGTACTAGGAAATATCACTGACTTGCCAAATTTCAAATTTACTTTTGCCATCAAATTTTTCTAACTCGAACTTTGCATTTGATACCTTTACTGTCAACCCCAAATCAGGCTCTAATACTACTTGTTATGTGTGGAAGCTCTAAAATCCGATGGTTTGATTTTTGGCAATTAAAGAGCAAGAAAAAACGAAACCAACAACAAAGCAAGAAAATAAAACATGAAAGAAATAATATGAAAAAAAAACCAGGATTTTATGTAATTCGTTACATATGTGACTACATCCATGGTCCATGACGATTGACAATTTTTCACTAATTAAATAAAATAAAATTAAAAAATGACTCTTATTAAAGAGAAATAGAGATGCAAACTCAATCTCTCATAAATTCTTTCTGTTTCTATTTCTATAATTTTATCTCTCTACACGACCCAAGTTTCTTTTTTTCCTTTTTTATATTTATTTCTCTCTACAAAATAACTAATTATATATAGAAAGACAAGCCAAAAAAGGACCTAAGTGAGGCTATCCCAGTTTTTCATAACCTTCGAAAACTTAATTTTATCCCTTGAAATATGGATTCTCAATACTATCCTAATCCAACCAGGACTTACCCAAAACAAACCCTTACGCAATAGAAAGTTGGTTAATCATAATTCCTATTTAATAAGAAATTTTCTAACGAACTAGATCAAAATAAAAAAAAAACAATAACATAGGTCAAGACAAATTAACACCTCCTACTAAAATTTTTGATAACATTTAAAATAATTGCAGTGGCACTTGGATGCCTATCTTAATGCTCAAAGTTTGGAGCAAGGTACATAATGATTCAAAGCATGCGTTGTACTTGACTCATTTTCTCATTGAGATATTCCATAAAATGCAAATAATCATTGGGTTTTTTCGTGGCCGTTTGATCCCACCAAAATTATAAAAGAGGGCCAAAGGAGCTACAGATGAGGGGATTCATGTTATATTTTATGATATTAATAACAAAAATGGAAAGTTTAAGTGTGACATTAATAGGCCATAAGATGGGAGAGAGTAGACTTAGGTAGGCTGGCTATGTAAGGCGCAGACTTGGTACAATACTTGTTAAAATGTACTAGTTAGTTTAAGTGAAAAGTTTAAAAAGGATAAAAGATAGGCTTAAAAGAATATGATTGGATGTAGTAAGAAAATATATAGGGATTTATAGCCCTTGAAAAGTTTAAAAAGGATAAAAGATAGGCCTAAAAAAATATGATTGGATGTAGTAAGAAAATATATAGGGATTTATAGCCCCACTGAGGGTGTGACTCTTTATCAAGCAGAATGATAGATTATGATTTGTGTAGCCGACCCCAATCAGTTCAAAAGAGGGTTTGACGATGATGAATAACTAAAATGGCACTTATTTCAAGTTTTATTTTTGACAAGCTAATCAAAACTTACTGCCTTTTCCATAGCTAATGAGATGTATTTTTAATATGGGATTTAGGCCTGTCCAAAAATGCAATGCGGTACAAAAGCATTCCAATTTCAATCGGGCTTCTTCAAAGACAAAAGATATTATACTCTTCCAGGAGTAGAATGCGCATTTAACCTCGTACCTGAAACTTCATTTAAAATTAATTTTAGGAACACAAATTGTGGGGTTGTAACCTCTTCAACCCATAGATTTATTTTAATATTTTTTTTCTAATTGTACTCTTTATGCACTTAAAAATAATATTTTTTCGAGATTAAATAGAGACCACCTAATCTTTAGTCGGTTAGATCTAAGTTTTAGAAAACTCAAATTTCAAAATTTTCTTTTTTGAGAATAATCATCTAGTAATTTCTAAGTGATTCCCAAAATTTGACATTAAAAAAAAATCCTCCTAAAGTGGATCTTCTGACCGCCATAGTAGAACCCTCAAACTTCTTCAAATTCATTTTGCTTTTTTGTGAATGTTTAAAAATCATTTGCCTTTTTGGGGCCACATGCTTCGCTAGTTTTAGGACAGCCTTGTATACGTGTGAGAAAAATATTTAGAGAAAAGACAACATGAAAACTGAGAAAGTTTTATCTTCCTAAAGAAGGATTAAAAATTGGTATTTGGTAGAAAGACAAATCATAATTGGAGACAGTGAAAGGGTTTTAGAGAGACAAAGAGAGAAGACATGTATGGTAAAGGTAATATTACTATGGGAGACAACAACAAACCTTTTTTGTTTTTTGGTAAATGAGGAGAGAGAAAGGGAGTCAAGTTATATGTAAAGGGAGATACATACAAGGGAGACTCCAATATGTCATGGGACGTCCTTTACAATGGGAACCTCGAGAAGAAATGAAGTATTTTGATTTCAATATAAAATGAAGTAATATTGATTTTAGAGAGAGTGATAAATAATGTGGAACCTCTCAAATAAAGGAAAATTGTCTCTCTCTTGAGAGAAGTAATAGGGAAATATACAAAGGGTGGTGTTTTTATAAGGTTGCAATTTTAAATAATTTAATTATGGCGCACCTTAAAATTTTATCATAACATATAATTTTGTTGTAAAAAATTCTTAGTATTATTTTAAAATATATTTTCATACCTAATTAGAAAATTTTAAATTCGAAAAATGGTTAAACTCAAGTAGATCTATAAATATAGAAAAATCTTGAAAATGGACCGTCTAGATAATGTGTTGCAAGATGCATTATTTTTAGGACTCAATTTTTTTCATATTCGTACATCTCGATTAGAAGGCTTTTTTTAACATTAAAATAACATTTCCGTTAAATTTTTTAGGTGTCTCTGTTATTCTACATTTTAAAGTTGCAACCTTATATGAACTTTTCCCGTATATAAATAATAGGGTTGCGCCACGAACTGTTGCCTTAGAGCCAGGTTTGGGCTTGTGTTTGCCCAATTCCGCTCTCACACCTCTTTTTGTTTTTTGGCCCAAAATGACCTAGCCCTAATAAGGCCGGGCCTTGGCCAGCCCTACAAGAACAAAGGCCCGGCCTCGGCCGCAGCCAAGTGTCGAGAAATAGGGATAGTCCAGAAATAGAGGTAATAAGGAAACGTATGAAATATAGAGAAATAGGCCAATATATTGGTAGGGAAAAACAGAGGTGGATGTCTCATATGAAAAGTATTTCATGATAGAGAGAGGGGGGCTAGTCGAAATCCTCTCATACAGATAGGCAGCCGTTGGGGCTTTGGAGGGCGGCGTACGCCGCATGTGGGTGAGTGGTTAGGCAGTAGGAGAGCTAGAGAGAAAAAGGGAAACAGTTAATTTCAAAGAAGTCTATCACTCTCTCTCTTCCTTCTCTCACCTCTCTCTACCTTAAGGGTGGGAAACGGGTCGGGCCAGTGTCATAGGCCGGATGAGAGACCGTTTTCGGTCAAGACGGTAGAGGTAAGTTTTTTATAGCCCAACATTTTAAGTTCG